TTTTTTTTTTTTTTTTTGATATCATGTTTAACCACTCACTAAAAGCTTATGTTATATACGAGATGCATTTATTTATTTAAAATTTTAGTCTTCAACATTTAGATAGATAATACAAATGAGTAAATGGTTCATGAGCATAGACCGTCTAAAATTTATTGCACCACGAGTCGAAGTGAATGGTTCTATCAACAAATGCAATTGTAATATTTCTTTCAAAGTAGTTTTAATCCCAGAAAAGTCGGTGGCAAAGTAAAATTATATACATTGTATAGCTGATCCGGTTCTGCCATGTAACTTAAATAACAGTTTCATAGGAGTCTTATTAATTTTATCGGTAGCTTTTTTTTTTTCGTTTCAAATTATCTTTTACATCATTTTCTGACATTAGGTTCACAAAAATACACACCTTTAAGCATAAATAAATTCAAGGATAGTGGAAAACCATTAAAATAGGATTCAACAAAAAAATTTAAAGAAAAAAATTCAAGAATCTACTGAAATCTACTCGGCAGTTATCTATCTAGCAATTATATTCATTTTAACACCATCCCAAGATATTAAACAGCCGTCTAAAAATACTAACAAAAACCTTCCCAATAAAATTGGGGTCGATTACATAAATCCTTTTTCACCACTCTATTCGTTTCATAGAAATATCCAAAACAACTACGCCCTTGGCAAAATAACAATTCGTAGCTAACAGGGGACGCCTTCACAAGATTCATGTAATAAGATTTGACCAAGTTTTATGTTGGTTGCCAACATAACGCAACCCCATCCTTAAACTGGCAGAGACCAGCTATGAAAAACATAGGCAGAGCCATTAAACCATTGGCTAACAAATACTTTCAAATTAGTAATTTTTTTTTTTTTTTTCCTTTTGAAGCTCTACATGACATCATTAATTGAATGTTCGTAAAACCTTATGTGTAATCCTGCTCCCTCACATAGAAAACTAACCCTTTTCTGTTAAGTTTTAACATTGATAGAATTAATCACAATTATGAATAAACACAAAGAACAACATTTCAGGAACAAGTTAACAATCGAAGTACAATTTTTGTATTAAGGTCAAGAGCACAAGTAAAGAAACACAAGGACAACAGCATTTAAGCAACAAGTCAAAAGTTTTTTTTGAAGTTTTACCGTTGAGAGAATGCAAAGTAATGACTGCACGTGGTTTCTTGATATTGAATCACCAATGAATGCCCAACTTCTATTCCTCATAAGCTCAAGAAATTTCTCGGGATTAAGTCGAGGCAATTCACAGCCATGAGGATTCCACCTCCAGTAAAGATAACCAGTATCCGGTCGTCCATTCTTCATACAATTCTGGTGGTCTGGAATGAAGCTGCAAGTCTCATCTGTGTAAAGAGGTCCTCCCTGATTTGGAATCCAATCCCCAATAAAAAGATTACACTTTCCTGCAAATATAAAAAAAATAAATGAACTTTTAGTGCATAGCCAAATCAGAATAATATTATCTAGCACCACTAGTGGTAAAACACCACTCTAGATGGCTCTTAGGCTCCATAAAATGTAGAATTAAGTAATTCATTTAATTACAACTCTTGTTTAGTATTTTAACACCATGCTAAATTGCATTACTCTAACCAAATGGAGTATCTCTTGCACAATACAGAACTGGAGATTCTTATCAATGAAGAGTAAATTATCTGCTTAATCGCAACAATCAAATTAATACAAAACTCACAACGAATCTCACTGCATAATAGCATTAAAACAATAAAAAATAGACAGAGACTTTCGTTATATATCCATATAAAGTCGTGCTAAAATTGAGTTACTTTATACAAAATATTAAAAGTGGAAAAAGGTAACTTTGAAAATAATGGAAAAAAAAAAAAAACAACTTAAAAGTAATTCAAACTCACTTTTAGGCAAATTCAAACATGATTTAAGCACGCCATCTTTCTTAAACCACAGAATCAGAGATAAGTACTAGGAGAAAATGAAACCACAAAAGATTATAGATCTGACCTTCTTGAGGAGGCGTTTCAACTGTAATTTGTTGGGGAGTAAAATAATCGACATGGGGTGGTGAAATACGAGTATATTTAACAGAAGGGTATTGAGAAAATACAGTGGATTGACTATAAATTAGCCTAAATGCAAAACCAACAAAGAAAATCGAAACCCACAACTTGATTACAAAGTAATTGAACTTGGGAAGAGACCTCCACCAAGATTTCCATTTGTAAAGCAGTTTCTTCATCAGTACTCACCTCTAACCTTTCTGAGTTGTGAGCATTTTTCTTATTAAAATAGTTCTTATTAAAATAGGACGTATATGGAGAGCACGTTGTTGGGATTAATTAATTACAAAATGATTAATAATGTGAAGTTTAGGTGATTAGGCCATCATTATAGGAAGATTGTAAATAATGTTTGCTTAAATCAAGTGTCCAGATGCCTCCAGCTAAAAGCATGTGTGGGAGGGGGTAATTTCTTAATGGATTGAACTCAAATTGCAATTAAATTTACTTTTTCCCGAATCATAAAATTTTGAAACTCATGGATGAATTGTTGTCAATTTTCAAACATGATAAAATTGAAAAAAGAAGTCATAACTCTATAAAGTTGGACAAACATGAGGTTCACATGATGTTTTAGGATATGTGATCGGATGGAAAAGCTGATCGTGTTTTAAATTGTTCAATGATAGAATGTCACATGATATTATATCAAATTTTAAGTCAACATTGATATTCATATTACATAATTAGATATTTTAACGGAGATTGTTAGACTATGATGTAGCGAAAAATCAAAAGAAGGTTGTACAAGTTGCTGCTTACCAATTTTGATATTGTAACAAGCAATATCACCCTTAGGATAAATAACTAATTAGTGAACATAGAGATTTTCCTCCTCACCATTGATCAAGGGATTAAATGGCTAACTTCAAATATTATTCGTAATTGGCTGTCTCCTAAAACACATGAAATGTGTGGGTTATTGCTAAAGTAGGCTCGTGATGCTATTGACTAGATATGGCAACGGGGCGGGTTCGCCCCACCTAGCCTCGCCCCGCCACTCTCCCACCCAGTCCCGCCCCGCGCCCCGCCGCACTTTAGGCGGGGCGGGTTCGGGGCGCGAGATTGCCCTGTTTCCTGCCCCGTTTATATATATTTTTTTTTCAAAAATTTCCAATTAACTATTTTTTGTTTTTAATTTGTAGTTAATTATTTTTTAATTCTTCACGGGACAGGTTCGGGACGCTTCGGGGTTGGGCACCCCTTCCCCGCCTTGCCCCACCCCACCCCCACCAACCCGTCGGGACGGGTTTTTTTCTCCCCATTCGGGTCGGGTCGGGGCGGGGGTAGTGATTGAGTTATTTGTTAGGTGGTCCCATCAATACAATTGCATTTGTGATATACAAGGTAGTGAAAGACATTCTTGGGGTCCAAATGAAGATATTTGAATGGAATACGTTGAAGGAAATTCAAATTATTTGTTGAATTTTCATGTTAATATTTGCTAGTTGAACCAGGAAATGAGGTAAGATGTGTCTGATAAAAATCCTATCAATCGCATAGTTATATATGCCTTTTTTTAGTTTCTTTAAATGCTCTAACACTTCCAATAATTTGTTACGCCTCGCCACCGAGGCTCCAGTTCAAAGTGCCACATCGCACTCTGCCTGGAATGGAAAGTCAACGAAGATCAATTGGTTAAATACAAAGAAGTCAAACAAAGGCTGAAATTCCTGTGTCGAATCACTGCCTAAATGATTGAAATTCTTAAAGTCGAAGTGCTACTAAAAAAATCAAAGAAGTCGAAGCTCTTCACACAGAAGACCACCAATACGAAACTCCCTACGGTCGAAGCTCTCAATTCATTCGAAATCCCTAAAACTGAAGATTTGTAGACAATCTTTAGGAACGATTCATATGATGTTTGTAATAAAGAATGTCATGTGTGTCAATCTATTATATAGGGTGGTTGACCCTTTGTCAATGTATTTAATATATGATACATTAAATAGGTATTTAATGTATGAGGCTCAGTCAAGAAAATGAGGGCACGTGGTCTTGATCCAACGATCACCACGTCGGCCAGAACTCTATAAATAGATAGTCTTTTGAATATTGATTCCAAGAACAATACTTTGAATATACCCTATTGCTTGCTCTACAATTTTTAGTTTGATCTTAGCTTATTGATACTTTGTTGGTGATTGTTTGTTAGTGCAATTATCTTAGTCACTATCCTCGGTACTCGAACATTTTTGTCTCACGCCGTAAAACATCTTCCGCATTCACGTGCTCGCTTTCTATGTCCGGTTCTCCAGTTAAAACGAGCCGAAACTTGCTTGAGTTGGTATGAGTGGACCTAGCATTTGTGTTCACGTCAGTGTAATGGAAAACAGGGTCAAAATATTGCTGTTGTCTATGAGAATCCAGACATTTAACCACGAAAATCCTATGGGAGAAAGTCAGTTGGAAGCAACATTACTATGAAGTGATTTTCAAGCCCTTGGAAAAATAAGCATTCTTGAAGAAAGAGTCTTTGAGAAAGTCCAAGATAAACCATTTGATTGAAAACCAGTTTAATCCTTGAAAAAAAAAAGAATATAATTTGTCCAAAAAACCTTATTATCTTGAGTTCAAACAATGAAGAATATGCACCTCGAAAGGCTAGGTAACACCCTGAAGAAGGGGAACCCTTACATGCTGTCCTAGCTACTCACCATCGACCTCACCAGCACAGACAAGGTGGTTATAGGATAACTTCTAGGCTCACTAGGAAAGTGGCCAAACATGAGAAATATAACTCAACAGAAGATAGCCATGCATGAGCTGCTAAGAAACATGTAGGGCTAGGGAGGATACCCAATTCCTCTATATGTAGCCCAAAGAAATGCGTTTCACAATCCTTCATAAGGGAACTACTACCACTGCGAAGATGAGGTCCAAAGCCAAATGGTTGACTACCAACATTACGCAAGGGAAAGAGCTTCCCATGAAATGGAAGTTAAGGTTGATATATACACCAAATATGACACTAATCGACCCACTAAGGTCTCATTCAACTTTCCTGCAAACTACGACCCAGAAGATATGCCCCAGAGGTTCGTGAGTGTTTTTGACAAGTTGATCCTAGGATTGTCTAGGAATAGGCATACTCGACCTCCCTATGTACATAGAAATAAGCAACAGGAACCTCCTTGATTTGAAAGAAAAAATGAGTCGATTTATAATAATGTGCCTCAGAATCCTCCCCTAGAAATAGGCGTGAGGGGAAAGTAAAATAGGTCAGGAGTCAAACAAGACCTTCCCAACCATCCCCAAAACTCAAGTTAGGGAAGATGAAGATTCAGATGAGCAACAAAGGTCTTGCGATCTTAATGATGACAATGAAAATCTACAATTTTCGCAAGGGATTAGGAATGCCCCTATATTAAACTACTTCACGCTCCCTAAAATTCCCAAGCATGATGGTAGAGGCAATAGTACAAAGCATTTTAATACCTTTAGGAGTTACACGAGCCTAGAGAAGCCATCCCCCCATGAAGTGTAGATCGTTCCACTTAACCCTAAGTGGAGCGACTGAAATATAGTCTACTAGACTTTCGAAAGGAAGCATCCGAAATTGGCCCGACTTCAAAAAAAACTTTCCTTAAGCGCTTTGCAACAAGTAAGGAAGGTGAAGGACTAATACAACACCTACAAGACATGAGATAGCAACAAGGTGAGTCCTTGAAAAACTTCATGTCCTGTTTTACTAATGAAATGACCTACTATGTGTTAGTTACAGATCGTAAAGCTTTACCAGTTATGAACTCTCTTTTTCGGAAAGACGTGCAAACAAAGGCCCTACCAGTTATGGCGTCTTACTGAAAATGATAAGGCGAGATAACATCAATGAAGAATTGAGAAATATAGGAATGGGGCAGACCAATGACTCCCACTTCTCAAATGCAAAGAAGAATATGCCCAACTTTACACTTGATGGACCACCAGGTCAGACAGTTGATCTCCCTCAATCCAGGACAAGCATTGACTACAACAACATTAAGTACATTACCTAGTTTGGCTTATGAAGAAGTGGATCCTAGTTTGAAACGTACCAAGGCCGACCCTACCCATGATTTTCCCAAATAAGGAGATGAGGAGCTGAGCCTAGAAATAGGGATGAAGCGCTTTTCTATTGTACATACCACCACTTATCTAGCCACAACATTGCTGGCTGTAAAGATATTGCAATGCACACTCAAAATAACAATCAATGGAAAAATTCCTCCTAGGTAGAACCAATAGCCCATGAATGTTGAGCCGAGGAGTCCCAATAAAGATGACGTCTCTCGAAGTAGAGACAGTAATAGGGAAAGATCTAGGGACAGTCAAAGATAGAAAAGAAGCCCCCAGGTAATGCTGGTCGTGAACCTATCTGAGAATTTGACACGATTTTTGGAAGCCCATATTTTAGGAGAGAATCCAAAAACTCCCAAAAGAACTATGCAAGGGAAGCTAAAGACTTCTCAATGGCAAATTTCATAGTTAGAAACAATCGACCCTTCACTGAGAGAAAGTTTCAACCTATCACACTTACCCAAGATGATGCAGTTAGTGTACATTATCCACATTATGATACCGTAGTGGTGAGGGCTTTCATAACTCACAATGGCATAAAAATGATGCTAGTAGATAATGAAAGCTCTCTCAACATCATCTTTGGAGCTATATTTGATAAAATGGAAGTTGACCACGAGCTGACCCTAATGGGTTTTCCCTTGTATGGCTTCATTGGCGATAGCATCGTCCCAAGGGGTAAAATCACTCAACCATCAGAGATGGGAACAACACCATTAACTACTCATCATTTTATGAAATTTCTAGTGGACAAC